AGAATTCCAGCGGGACGCTGGGTGTGGTGGTGCATGCCTGTCCCCCTAGCACGCTGCAAGGCAGAGACAGGAAGACTGCAAGGTCAAACCCAATGCAGACAATTTAGTGATTTGGTAAAACTCTATCTCAAAACCAGAGAAATTACTAAATAAAAAGGGGCCGACCAGAGGAGGTAAGTCAGGTGGTAGGGAGGGGTGGGGGCTCCTTGTATGTCATGTGCAGGGCACCAATAGCCCTGTGTGGCCTGGGGGTAGGGCACACTTCCAGCTTTTCACAGAGGCTTCTGAGAACTGGGGCCTAGGCATCGCTTCTGGGTAGGGTCCTCTGCCTGCCCACAGGCAATGGCTAGGAGGGCGCCAAGGGCCTCAGTTGCGGGATGTGCGCCATGAGGAAGCTCATTTGAGGGTCAAGCGGTGGCACCTGGGTGCGGGACATGAAGCACTGAGGGGACACCAGGGGACACATTCTCCACCACTTCCCACCCCATTTGACCCAGAGGAGACTGCTCCCTGCCAGCAGTGACATCTTGACACATCCCATTGCCTGCAGCACTACGGCCCTTTTCCCTCTGAGACCTCCACTGGCTCCCACTCACTGGCCAGGACCAACTACTCTCCTTGTGTGGCACCTGAGGCCACCTGCACGTGTGTCTGCAGCTGCGTCCCCCTGCTGACCCTCAAGGCCATGTGTCCCCTCACCCCTGGGCCTCCCTGTAACTGCACACCCAAGGGCAGTTGCTCCTGGCAAGGCTTTCTGCGAATGTCAGGGACTGCACTGGGGTCACCAGCTGGGGCAGCACAGCCCACCCTGCTCCCTCAGGGCCAGGTGGCCCCAATCAATCATCAACTTCAGCCCAGTGCCTCTTTTAAGTCTTGGGATCTTCTCCTTCTCCTTCTTCTCCTCCTTTTCCTTCTTCTTTCTTCTTCTTCTTTACGGAACCTGGGATTGAACTCAGGTCCTTGCACTTGCCAGGGAAGCGCTTATTCTGCTGAGCCATCTCTGCATTTTAGGGAAGGGTCTACAGGGTGTTCAGGGTCTCACTACTTGATCAGACTCGTAGTGATCCTCCTGTTTACAGCCTCCAAAGTGCTGGGATTACAGGTGCGCCCCATCATGCCTAGTCTCAACACACCCTAGGGGGTGGGGCCAGCACAGCAAGCCTGGGGATCGAACCCCTGGCCCCTGCATCTGTTTGCAGGTACTTTAACCCGCTGAGCTATTTGGCTGGCCCTTGGCATTCTTTCTTTGACCAAAAACAGTTTGTCTTTTTTGAGACAGGGTCTCCTTATGCAGCTCAGGCTGGCTTTGAGCTTACTTTGTAGCCCAGACTGATCTCACACTCACAATGATCCTCCTGCCTCAGCCTCCCAAATGCTGGGATTACAGGCATGCCCCACCACAGCCAACCAAAATATTTTTGAAAATTGCTTTTATTTTTATTTGCTTATGTTTTTAGAAATTTTATTATAAAATAAATTGTATAGGTAGCAAAGACACAGTCATTCTAATCCCTTTTAAAATTCCAGAGTAAAATTTTCTAGATTTTTTTTCCCTCAAAATGTTTTTTCTCCCTTACCTTTTTTCTTTCTCATTTTTAAGGAACTAAAACCCTGTGATTTTTATTTATTTATTTTTGGTACTAGGGATCAAACTCAGGACCTTGTGCTTGCCAAGAGCCATCTTCCACGGAGCTAGCACCCTGGCCCCACCCTGTAATTTTAATATCCCAGCATTTACGGAAAATCCACAGGGTATATGCAAATAAAATAATTAAAGCCGGTAGTTGACCTTCCTATTTAAAAAATTATTTTAAAAGTCATGGCTTGGGGCCAGAGAGATGACTCAGTAGGATAAGCGCTTCCCTGGTAAGTGCAAGGGTCTGAGTTCAATCCCCAGTTCCACAAAAAAGAAAATGCACAAAAAACAAAAACAAGTCATGGCTTAAAGACATACGATTAGCCCATGGAGGCAGCTCAGCAGTCTAAGCACCTGCCTGGGCCAGTGCAAGGACCTGGATTCCATGCCAGTCCGGCATGCCAGGCCAGGCCCGCGCCAGGCGCATGGTGGCACAGGCATGTAGTCCCAGCCGTGGGGAGGCTGAGACAGGATGATCACTGTGAATCTGAGCTTTGTAGTAGGATCCTCTACCACATATATTAAAAAACAAATAAAAATAAAAAATGCCATTACATTTTTTTTAAATTTCTCATCTTAACTATTTCATATTATTCTATAATGAATCTTCAGAATGTTTTCATCTTGCAGAGCCCAAACTGTCACCCTAATACCCCTTTACCCACGCCCACCCCGCTTCCCCTAGCAACCACCATTCTACTTTCTGTTTCTAGGAGTCTGACTAATATGTGTGTGGTGGTTTTTTTTTGTAACGGGGATTGAACTCAGGAACTTGCGCTTGCCAGACAAGTGCTTATCCAACTATCTCCCCAGCCCTAATCTGACTAATATGTGTGTGGGCATAACTGTGCAATATTTGTCTTTTTGTGATTGGCTTTTTTGTTTTAAAACAGGGGCTTGCTACGTTCAAATTTACAGTCCTCAGCCTTCCAAGTGTTAGGATTACAGGCATGTGCCCCATGTCCCATTTCTATGATTGGCTGTTTTTGTTTTGGTTTAGTTTGTGGTTTTTTTAGCCACAACTCAAGCCAGCCAGTCATGCCTTGAAGGCATTCGGAGCAAAAAAAAAAAAAAAAAAAAGTTTGTGGGTTTTTTTGAGACATGATCTCCGTATGTGGTACAGGTTGGCCCTGAGGTCACTTTTGTGTTTCATTTTCTATGTATACTGGGGATCGAACCCAGGGCCTTGTGCTTGCCAGGCAGGCACTTATGCTGCTGAGCTATCTCCCCAGCCCCTTGAGCTCATTTTATAGCCCAGGCTGGAGTCCAACTTGCAATGATCCTCCTGTCTCAACCTCTTGAGTTCTGGAATTACAGGCGTGCTCCACCATACCCCAATGTGATTGGCGGATTTTATTTAGCCTAATATCCAGGAGGTTCCTCCCTATCCAAAGTATTTTATATATAGGGGGGCGGGGAGATGGCTCAGTAGGATAAGCGCTTGACTGGCAAACACAAGGATCTGAGTTCAATCCCCGGTTCCAAAAAAAAAAAAAAGTATTTTATATATAAAGCAATAAATAGTTTTATAGAAAATCAGAAAAGCTTGAGGAGCTAGATGTGGTGCATGCCTATAATCTCAGCTACTCCGGACTCTAAGGTGGGAAGATCACAAGTTCAAATCCAGCCTGGTCAATTTCACAATTTAGACAGACCCTGTTTCCAAATAAAAAATAAGAAGGGCTGGGGATGCAGCTCAGTGACACAGCACTTGCCTCGCATGCATGAGCGTCTACAATGAGCTCCAGCAGAACTAAATAAATAGGGAAAGCCTCGCCTCCAAGGAGGGGGCCACAGGCACACACCTCCCCTCCGTGTTGGTTTCCTCTCACCAGCGCTAAGATGGTATCAGTTCTGTTTTGTTTTTGCAAGGCTAGGGATCAAACCCAGCTCACAGAGGCCGGGCAAACTCTCTTATCACCCAGCCACATTCCAGCTCATTTTATGTCAAGACACAGTTGTGAAGTTGCTCAGGGTGGCCTCAGACTCACCACCCTCCTGCCTCAGGGATCACAGGCTACACACCACACCCTGAGCGTTTCCTGTAGTAGGACAGTGTGATTTTAACCCTGGGAGGTAAAATGGGGGAAAAAAAAATCAGGACACAGACTTTACACACAAACACACGCACACCTCCATGTTTGGAGTGATTTGCGTGCCTGTGGGAGTGGCCAGGGCGAGGATTTTGTCTGTTTCTCGCCAGCCAGCACCGTGGAGGTCCAGGAGTCCCTGCCCTGCCAGCTCCATCCACTCTCAGGGGTCCAACCCTCACCTCTGGCTGTGCTCCTTCCAGTCAGTCCTGGCAGCGACTGAAAACTTTCTTGTACAAATTTCGTGTTTCTTTAGAGGAATTTCTAAAAGTAAAAGGGCACATTGGAAAGATGCACTATGTAGCCAGGGCTGGCCTTGAAGTCGAGGGAATCCTGCTGCCTCAGCCTCACGAAGTGGGGATTATAAATGTGTGCCACCACACTCAGGCTGAAAGGTTAGGGGTTTTTTGTTGTTGTTGTTGTTGTTGTTGTTGTTGTTTTGTGGCCTGTTCAGCCTGCTCTGGGCGAGGGGCTGGTGTGGCCTGTGGTGCTGGAGATCAAGCCATGGTCCCTGTGGTTGCCTAAGCTTGCCTAAGCAGGCGCTTTAGACCACTGAAATATCTCGCCAGCCCCTGAGAGTTTTGATTTGCATTGTCAATTTCCTTTCCCCAAAAAGTTGTGCAATGCCCACACTCATTTGTGGCTCTCTTTTCTCCCCAAGTAGTGGAGATGATCGAATCCAGAGCCTTAGCACTGAGCTACCTCCCCAGCTCTTTTTTTTACTTGTATTTCGAGACATTGTCTTCATAAATCAATAGAGTACCCAGGCTAGGCTCAAAGTTTTGATCTGCCTGCCTCAGCCTCCCAGAGTGCTGAGATTAATTACAGGGGAGCAGCACCATGCTCCGCGCAAGGCTGGCTCTTCATAACCAACCCAACCCTGCAGGTCTTTGGGACCTGAGGGATGTTCAGTCCCAGAGAAATTTCCAGGGCCCCACCCAACCAGGAAAGAGATGGGGGTGGGTTGTTAGTGCAGGACCCCGAGACAGCACCTGAAGAGAAGCCCAAGCCCGGGCACTACCTCGCTGTGGGAGCTTAAACAAAGAGCCTCTCCTCTCTGGGTGTCAGGATCCCCCGCTGCCCTACGAGAAGCCTGGCCTTGTCCCCCGGGAGTGATGCGAGTGCAGCGGAAGTGCACAGACGCAGCCTCGGAGCCGTCTGGGGACCGGCGCAGGGTCCCGGGGTCCCTGCTGAGCCCGCATCGTCCCGCCCGTCCCCACCCCCACCCGCGCAGCGCTGGGCCGGCTCCCGGCATGCCGCGCGCTGACAGCCTTATAAATAGTAGTCGCTGCGGGCTCGGCGAGGACGGCAGGGCAGCGCTGGCCCCGCGCCCACCGCACCCTCCCCAGGTCAGTGCACGACCTCCGGGCGGCGGGGGCGTCTCCGCGGGGAATGGGGACCTGCCCTCCCCCGTGCGTCTGTGTCAGGCGACCCTTGCGTGGCGCGTGTCTGTTTGTATCCATGGTTATCATCTGTGGGGCTCGCCTGCCTGTCGCGGGCTCTGGGGTTTGGGTCACACTGCATGTGCTTTTGTTGATCTCTGGGTGTGGAAAGGGGTGGGGAGGGGGCCGCCCCTCCCAGCTTCCCAGATTCCTTTGTCCCTGTCTGCACTGCACTCCTGGGGTTCGAGGACCCTGCCTTTGGCTCTTCTTGGTTGGGCCTCGGGTGGCCTGGCTCCATGCCTGAAGACCTAGGCAGGGGAGGCCTATGTGCTGTCCCTCTTGTCACTTGGAGGTTGGGAGCCCTCACCCTCCACCCCATGCTCAGCCCTAGGGATGCTGAGCCCCAACCTGCCCCAGCCTTCTGCCAGAGGCTGCCCCTGGGGCCTTACATGGCCCTCCTCAGCTGCCACCCAGGATCCTTCCACAGTACCCATCCAGTTCCCAGAGGGAACGCTGGCTGCCCAAGGTCACACAACAGAGTGACTGAGTTGGGGTTTGAGCTCCAACCTGTCACCACCCACGGGGAGGGCTGCTGTCACGTCAGAAGCTGGATGAACCTGGCCTCGCCTTAGCTCTGCCCTGTGATAAGGGTTAAGTCCCTGTCCTCTGGGCCTCAGCTCCCTGCAGCCACCTAGCAGACCCTGTCATCCTGGGAGACTCAGGGGCCTTATAAGGCCAGGGTGCTCAGCCCGTAACCCAACTCCATCTTGGACCCCTGGCCTCTGCTAGGCCTCCCCAGGACCTGAGTTATTTTGGACCAACGAAGTGGCAGGTGACCGAAGGACCCAGAGACTTAGGTTACTGGGAGGGGGCAGGGCAAGGAGGGGCCATCTCTTGGGGGCCTTGCCATGGCTCTCCCTGCCTGGGGATGGTGCCCCTTTGCTGGGCAGCTGCCAAGGGGCACTTGGCAGCTTGCACCCCTCCTTGAGCGCTCTCAGCAGGGCTGGGGCCATAATTCACGCCCATGGAAAGCACAGACATCAGCAAAGCCACCAAAGGTCCTGTCTGGGAGCCCAGGGCCGGCAGACCTCAGTTTGACCCTGCCGGGCCTTGGAGCTACCTGCCCACTCCAAGCCTCAGTTCCCTCCCCTGAGAGAAGGAGCTCCCCACCCTGTGCTGAGCCCTGGCCAGCCCTAGTCAGGTAGGGGACAGAGTGGGCACTTGCCAGTGTGGAGTCCAGGAAGGCTTCCTGGAAGCAGTGAGGCCTGACCCAAGTAATGGCCACTGGAGAGGACATCCAAATGGTTGGGCACAATGCCCCCAAAGGCCTGGAGGAGAAACATCACAGTGAATGAAGGGGCTCGAAGCGGATCCATTGGCTGAGGACAAAGCTGCAGGCACTGACAGGAGACACATTGCCCTGGTCCTGTCCAGAGCCTGAGGCTCCAGGCTGTGTTTTGGGAGCCCAGGGTACCATATGTGAAAGGTTGTTTGTCACTTGGTGTGGTGCTCACTGCCTGGTAGGCTGCGGTGTCAGGCCTTTCTTGTTACAAGGTCACTGTGGCAGGAAGCTGATGGGAGAGGGGCTTGGGGACACACATGGTGTGTAGGTGCATAGGAAGAGGCGGGTGTGGGGGGGTCATGCGGATGGGGCTTCTGCTCCAAGGGTGGATAGGAATCTGGGATGCAAGAGTCTTTGCAGGCTCTGAGGAGCCAGGGGGCCCTGGGGCTTGGCAGAGGGTCAGGTGGAGGGGACCCTGCAGCCTAAAGCGAAGAGGGAGAGGCTGCGGTAGGGGTCAGGGTCGGGATGCCAGCTGCAGTGGAAGGTGAGATCTGGTAGGTGGAGAAGGTAAGGCAGGTGGGAAGGAGAGCCCTGCAGAGTCAGGTGGGAAGCCATAGAGGATGAGGGCCTTGGAGGGCTGGGACCAACTCACTTTCACGATGCTGGGCTCAGTGGTACACACCTGTAACCCCAGCACCCTGGGAGGCTGAGGCAGGACGATCACAAATTTGAGCTAAGCCTGGGCAACTTGGTGACTTTGTGAGACACTGTCTTAAAATTAAAACAGAAGACAAAACACAATACGGGCACGGTGACATGGGCTTTTAATCACAGCGCTATGCTTGGGAAGCTGAAGTAAGATTACTGCAAGTTCAAGGCCAGCCTGAGCTACACAGTGCAATCCTTTTTTTAAATAGACAGATAAATCACTTTAGCGGAACCAGGGATTTTTTATTTTATTTTATTTTTTTTATTGATTTTATTTAGTGTGTGTGGCCAGCTCTGGCTGGCATGTGGTGCTGGGGGATTGAACCGTGGTCCCTGTGCTTTGCTTAGCTTAGCTTATTCTAAGTAGGTGCTTTAGACCACTGAGCCATCTCACCAGCCCCAGATAAATCACTTTAAAGGGGTTGAGGGGAGCAGCTCAGTGCAAAGGGCTTGGGTTCCGCCATACTAAAGAAAAAGAAGACTGGAAAAGATTGTGTCCCTGTGAGAGGCAACTGTTGATTCCTCCACCTGTGGCGTCTGGGTCCCTTAGTGCACCCAGGTCCGAAGCAGTCCTGCCCCAGACTTGGACATTCATCTGCCCTGCTCCGCTGCCTCCCGCCTCCTTCTGTGGGCCCTGGGGACTGTCGTCAAGGTGGCCAGGCTGACGCTGGCCCTGTGCCCTCTTGGTTGGGTGTCCCAAGGGAAGCAGACGACTTCGGCAGATGCCATCCTTGCCTTTGGGCCTTCCTGGTCTAAGGACAGAGCAGAGCAAGAGGGAGTGGCTGCCCCCTATGACAGGACACGGGTGAAGCAGTGGAAGCCAGCGAGGAGAGTGACTTTCCCGCAGTCAGCAGCAGCCCTCTGCCCTCACACTGGGAGTTGGGGCCTGGCATTCCTGCTGCCGACACAGCCACGGTGGGTGTGGCTTGGCAGAGGCCTCTTCTGGGAGAACCCCTCAACCCTGCTGTGCCTTGCCTTGCAGCGCCCTGACCCGGCTCCTGAGCCTGAGACCTCGGCAGGATGGAAGGTATGGGGCTCCCTCCTTGCCCCGGGGGGCCTGGGCCTGTGTGGCCATATGCTGGGGAACACCCAGGGAGACCCCCCCCCCCCGAGAGTGTGAGGGGCTGTCTGGACGCCTTGGCACCCTCCTCTGGCTTCTCCCAAGTGTGCCGATGCCAAGATTAATTTTAGAAGCCTGAGGCCTGCCTGAGCTCTAGCCCCTGGCTCACCTCCTACACTGGGCTTCTTGAGTGAGGCCCTGTCCCTCCCTCCAATGAGATCTACCAAGTTCCTGTCCCTCCATGGGACTCAGTTTCCCTGCTATTCTGGGGAGGTGGACCTCAGGGACATCTTGGGCCTTCCTGGTTCCTGCGTGCTGGGACCTAGAGGCAGGCATGGGTGGGTAGAGCGCCTGGAACAGGCCTGCCAGCTCTGGCTGCACCTTCCCTGAGCGCCTGGCCCCAGGCCTCGGGCTAGGTGACTCTTAAAGGAGCCCTGCTGGCCTGGCCCCGGCCCCATCTGAAGCCAGCAGGCTCTAGAGCTCTGAAGTTAGCTGCCCCAGGTCTGTGGCCTCCCCTGAGCAACTGGAGAAGTCATTTTTCTTTCTTTTTTTTTTTTTTTAATTATTTATTTGTGTGTGTGTGTGTGTGTGTGTGTGTGTGTGTGTGTGTGTGTGGCCAGCTCAGCCCACCAGGGGGCAGGGCTGGCTGGCATGTGGTGCTGGGGGATTGAACCGCGGTCCCTTGTGCTTTGCTAAGCTTGTTTTAAGTACGTGCTTTAGACCACTGAGCCATCTCACCAGCCCAGAGAAGTCATTTTTCTGACATCTGCTCTAAGCATCCAGCCTCACTGGGCCCAGAATCCTCACACACTGCCACACCCACTCCCTCCTAGGCCAGGGAGAGCAGTGGGGGGGAACTTCTTTCCTAGGTCACACAGCCATGGGGGTTGTGGCCCAGGCCAGAAAGATCCCGGAAGCCCAGGAAGAAGGCTCTGGGTTCTGGTTTTGCTCCTTACATCCCTTGAGCAGACCCCTCCTTCTCTAGGCCTCAGTTTCCCTCTGCCTGGTGGGCCTGCGAATGCTAAAGGGGCTGAGTTTGGAACACGAGCTCGCTTTCCTGTCCAAGCAGGAGTTCCACGCGCCCACCTCCCTGGCAACCATCTCCACAGCAACGTATGTTGTGGTTGCCAACTCCACAGTAGTAGTGCCAAGGCAGGCGGGCAATGGGCAGGGCCAGGCCTGGGAGGGGAAGGGCAGGGGACTCAGCAGAGCGGGATCATGGGCTGCTGTGCATCTAGAGACCCTCAAAGAGTGGCCGACCAGCAGGCCAGAGGTGACGCCCCCACCGGGAGGCGCTCGAAATGTGAAGCGCCAGCCCCGTGGCTGGGCAGAGTTCTAGCCCCCAGCTCTTAGCCTCAGCGCTCCAGGGGCTTGCGGACCACTGAGGCCGGCTCCCCTTTCTCTCCCACAGAGAAGCTGAAGAAAGCCAAGATCATCTTTGTGGTGGGTGAGTCGCAGGCGGGCAGGCGGGCGATGATGGTGCAGCACTGAAGGAGCCTGGCAGCCCTGGCCCCCTCCCTGCCCCTCCCTTGGGTTTCTCAATGGGTGGGCGCTTGCAGGCGGGCCTGGCTCAGGCAAGGGCACCCAGTGCGAGAAGATTGTGCAGAAGTATGGCTACACCCACCTCTCCACCGGGGACCTGCTGCGCGCGGAGGTCAGCTCAGGCTCGGCCAGGGGAAAGAAGCTGTCAGAGATCATGGAGAAGGGACAGCTGGTGCCGCTGGTGAGCAGGGGACTCTGGTGCCTGTGGCTCCCCATTCCCCCTCCAGGAGCTCCCAAGACCCCGGGAACCCTGCCATTTCTTGTCCTCAAGCCAGCCACATTCCTTCCTGCCTGGATGGGGGTTTGTTTTGTTTTCTGAACCTAGATCTCTCTCTGTAGTTGAGGCTGGCTTGAACTGCCAAGTGTTGGGCTTACATGTATGGGCTACTGTGCCCAGCAAAATAGTACTGAGAATATCTTATTTCTCTCCATTTGGGGCACTGAGGATCTGAATGCAGGGCTTCACGGATACAAGGCGAGCACATTACCACTGAGCTGCACCCCCCGCCCCAGAGACCCCTGGCTGCATACTGCAGCAGCCCTCCATGCCCAGACAACCTGTATCACACTGGGAGACTGCAGCCAGCTCTGTCACTGAGCTTCCTGAGAACAGGGGAGGGCCCAGGTCTCCTGAAAGGAGTCCTCCGAGGGACAGGGAAGCTTGGGCCATTTGTGTGCACCCCAGGCAGGTGTCCAGGCAGCGGGCCAGGGCTGGGAAGGCTCAGGCCCTTGCTCCTCGCTGCCCACAGGAGACAGTGCTGGACATGCTCCGAGATGCCATGGTGGCCAAGGTGGATTCTTCCAAAGGCTTCTTGATAGATGGCTACCCCCGGGAGGTGCAGCAGGGAGAGGAGTTCGAGCGGCGGGTAAGGCACACGCTGAGTGAAGTGGGGACAGAGGTCTGACCTGCCTGGAGCCTTGAATGCCAGGGAAAGACAGCTGCCTCCTTCCTCAGGCATCCACGGGCCTTAGGGTGATGGCCGCAAAAGCAGTGCCCTCTGGGATCATTGTCCCCAGGGTGCAAGAGCACGTATACACACAGACATGTTCACACACACACGTGTGTGTGTATGTGTGTGTGCACGCTCAGCCCCTCATCCACCTGAGCATGTGCACACATAACCACACACATGTCACAGGAGTGCATCCACCCAAGGCCACAGCTGCGTTCGTAACACCCTGGACACACAAGCAGGGATGTACACATACGCACACACGTAGGTCCACAGGCACATGCGCTGTTAGACACCACTGGGGCCTTATGGCAGGAGGATTCATGGGGCTCAAGTACCCACGAATTCATGGTTCTCAGGAACTCTCGGCAATGGGGTTAGCGCCACACACGGGGTTGCATGCCTGTAATCCCAGCGCTCAGGAGGCTGATGTAGGAGGTTCACCGGCCTGGGCGACAGGGATTTCAAGGCCAGCCTGAACTACATAGTGAGACCTTGTCAAAAAAAAAGAAGAAGAAAACAAAGAAGGAAGAGAGGGAGAAAGGAAGGGAAAACAAGAAATGAGATTAGTGAGGTCCCTGTCCCTCCTGGGGCTGTTGTGGACACTGCCCAACAGGAGACCATCTCAGCTGTGGACACCAGGGGGCACCAGGGCCTTGCTAAAGGAGGAAGGGGACCCTGGATGTGGCTTGGGGCTCACAGCAGCTCTCCTGGGGAAAGCAGGGCCCTGCGCCACTCCCCAGGCTGAAGGTCTGTTGTTCTGAGTGGGAAACTGAGACCTCGAACTGGGAAACAGCCTCAGCCAGGGCTGCCCTGCCCAAGAGCTGAGCGGCCCGCCCCCTGGGTCACGGTCGCTGCCCAGGGTTGGAAGGAGCCTGCGCACAGCTCTGGGGTGGCAGAACCAATAAGATCCTGTCTGCAGCTGAGGTGGGGACAGTGTCAGAATACATCTGAGGGAACTGGGGTCCCTGAGGGCCAGCAGGCTGCCAGCAGCCACACAGGCCAAGGGCCCAGGGACACTAAGTAAATAAATAACTGCAGAGGTCTTTGGAAGGAGGGAGATAAAAAGGGCTGGAAGAGCCGTGTCCTGAGGCCTGGGTCTGGGGCCAGAGGGGTGGCATCTGGGAGGAGACATCTCCCATAGATGGGTAGGGGACCTTGGCACCTTGGTGGAGCCCTGAAGGCAGATCCTGGTACTGAAGCTTGGTGGGGTGGGGTCACCCCTGTGGGAATGGGCTCCTAGCGGAAGGCACAGTATGGGGCTCTTCTGGGAAGGAGATGGGGAGAGAGCAGAGGGCTGGAGAGAGCAGGGCGTGGCCCTGCCCATAGGGACATCGGGCTGTCTCCTAGAGGCACTGGGAGAGGTGTGAGTGGAGGAGGTGGGGGGAGGGGAGGTCCCTGTCCGGATGATCCCAGAGGGTGGGCATGGGGTCCCTATGACGTGGTGCCCCCCACAGATTGGACAGCCCACACTGCTGCTGTATGTGGACGCAGGCCCTGAGACTATGACGCAGCGGCTCCTTAAGCGTGGGGAGACCAGCGGGCGTGTGGATGACAATGAGGAGACCATCAAGAAGCGGCTGGAGACCTATTACAAGGCCACCGAGCCTGTCATCACCTTCTACGAGAAGCGGGGCATCGTCCGCAAGGTGCTCAGCCTGACTCACTGTGTGACCCAGGCCAGCCAGGCTTGCTGAGCCTCAGTTTCCCCTCTAGTTCAGTGAGAGGCTGCTATTCCCCATGTGGGCTGAGGGAGCCACGGCTGGCTGGGTTTAGGGGAGATCAGTCCTGCCTCGGGGCCCCCAGCCACTGCCATTGCTGTAGACCCAACAACCTGTCTTCTTCCCACAGGTCAATGCCGAAGGGTCCGTGGACAGCGTCTTCTCGCAGGTGTGCACCCACCTGGATGCTCTCAAGTAGCTGCGCCAGAGCCCCCTTCCCGCACCCTGCCCTGGCCCTCTCCCGCTCGGCCACCGTGTACAGAGGAGGCTACTTTGTCTAGAGTTGAGCAGGCGCCGAGCACTAAAGGCTTTTCCAAGGACGTGTGGTTTTTCTCCTCTTTCTTTGCTCCCAGTCGGAGCTGATTGGTGCGAGGCTGGGGTTTCCCATCCGTCATCTGGACCTCAGCCTCCTGCGGGGGACCCTGGCCCTTCCTTACTTAGGCATGCCCAGACCAGGTGCCAGGGGGGCTGGGCTCTGGGGTTCCTCACCCTGGGCAGCGTGCCCGGGGCCCTGACCCTGCATCTCCCTGAGATGTGATTTCAAGGAGCTTGGAGGAGGGGACTGGGGAGATGGCTCAGTGGAATAAGCGCTTCCCTGGCAAGCGCAAGGGCCTGAGTTCAAGCCCCAGTTCCTAAAAAAAAGGCTCAAGGAGCTTGGATGGCAGCAGGCAGCAAGGTTGAGGCTGTGTGGTCCCCTGGGCAGTGTGTGGCACACCAGCCAGCCTAGGGTGCAGTGGATCAGTGCCTCGGTGCCCAACACTGTGGGGGTCTGAAAAAGGGCATGTGTGCCAGGTGTGGCGACGTACACCTGTGATCCCAGCATGCAGGAGGCTGAAGTAGGAGTGTCACTGTGAGCTCAAGGCCAGCCTGGGCTACATAGAGAGACCCTGTCTCAGGGGAAAAAAAAAAAGGAGAAAGAGCATGTGAGAAGTGGGCAGCCATGTTGGGTCCCTCTCTGAGGACAAGCTGTCTGAAGCCTCAGCCCCCCAGCGTGGCCCTGCCAGGTTCCAGCTCTCCTCTGTGACCTGTTTCTAATCTAAAACATGTTTGGTGTCCCTGCTACCGCCTCTAACCCAGGACAGGAACACGCTGAACAAGGGTTGGGGGTTGGCATATGTGTGGTGACACCAGGCTCAGCACCACCAGCATCCCTCCTGTGTCCCCTGCCTATGTCACCGAGGAAGGCTCAGTGTGGTGCTCACCCATAACCAACCCAGCCTGAGAGCCCAGAAGGACACCGTGCGGGCAGTGGTGCTCACGTTGTGTTTTCTGCTCGTGGCGAAAGTGGCTCTCCCTTTCCGCTGACATTGGCTATTTAAACTTTCCTTTAAACATATTGGTTATGGCCGGGGAGATGGCTCAGTGGAATAAGCACTTCCCTGGCAAGCACAAGGGCCTGAGTTCAATCCCCGGTTCCACCAAAAACAAACAAACAAAAAAAAACCAAAAACCATATTGGTTATAAGGGTAAGTCTACAGACAGGGATGTGGCGCGAGTGTGCAGTGGGACGCCAGAGGGAGAGGTTGCCGAGGCGGGCAGCTAGTGAGGCAGACCTTCAGTTAGCTGGGGTGTCGGGGTGCTCTGGGCCAGCCCCTGCACCCGTGCCAGCCTCTGGAAGCACTGGGAGCACACGCATGTGTGTGGGCAGGCGGCACAAAGCCGACAGTTTCCCTGGCATCTGCAGACATTGCTCCCAGGAGCCCTTCATGGACACTAAACTGTAAGAGCGCTTGGTGGGGACCTAGCAGTGGGGGAGGGGCCCTCATCTATAGGGCATGGCGCGTGCTGTGCACGCCCACCTGCGTCTCCATGACTTACGCAGCCCCCATCATGTTGTTCAGGGAATGATGACAGGAAAATGTCTGTGTGTGTTCAGTACGATGTAATGTTTTTGAAAATTATTATTTATTTTTCAGTACTGGAGATTGAACCCAGGGCCTTTCCTGAGCTACATCTTCAGGCCTTGTGTTATTTTTTCATTTGGAAACAGGGTCTCACTGAATTGCCCAGGCTGGATTTGAACTTGTGATCTTCCTGCCTCAGGTTCCCTGAGTGCTGGGATTACAGGCTGGTACTCAATCTTTCTGATGTAGTTGGTTGAACCCACAGAAGGAGGTCCTGAGAGAGAGGGCACCTCTGATCTGTCACCTGGTATCTGTTGATCTAGAGAGGGATCCAGAGAAGCTTTGGGGTGAAAATCTCAAAGCTCAAGTTTCAAACTGCAGTGACCACCACCCTACCCATCCCCTCACGTGAGAGCGTCCCTCAGCCATGTTGTTCAGTCAGCAGACATCTCTGGGCTGCCCTTGGTGCTGGCCGGCCTGGCTTCCCAGCCCTGGGCTTGCAGCCAGAGGGGCGCCTTGTGTTCACGGATTCCACCCAGCCCTTCAACCAGGCCAGAGCCAGCCGGCCAGCGCTTCAGCTCCGGAGGCTGCGTTCTGGAACCAGAACTCTGGGGCAGTGGCCGAAAGTCACCTGGGAGTGGGACTCAGGACAGAGGGCCCAGAAGGGCAGAGGGCAGAGCTTGGCAGAACTGTGAGCAGAGGACACTGGGCAGTGAGGAAGCGAGAGACCGAGCCAGGGTGGCAGGGGCTGGAAGTAGCGGTTCTCCTAAGCACACTGGGAGGCTGGAAAGAGGTGGGCTGTGGCTGGGAGTGTCGTTCTGTGTATGTAAGGCTGGCCTTGAACACACTATGGAGCGCCAGCTGGCCTTGACTTTGTGGTGATCCTCCTGCCTCAGCCTCCCAGGAGCTGGGGTTACAAATGTGTGCCACCAGGCCAGGTTCCGACTTTTGTGTGTGTGTGTGTGTGTGTGTGTGTGTGTGTGGTGTGTGTGTGTGTGTGTGTGTGTGTGTGTGTGTGTGTGGCTGGCTCAGTCGGCCCTGGGGGTGAGGCTGGCACGGCATGTAGCACCAGGGATCGAACTGCGGTCCCTGTGCTTGCCTAAGCTTGCCTAAGCAGGTGCTTTAGACCTCTGAGCTATCTTACTGGCCCCTGAGTTCCAACATATTTTAAAGTAAACTATAGATATGAAGAAAATCTGCTCCTCGAGCATGATGTTACGGTCAGCTTCAACAGCGCTAGCTAATGCTGTCTATACCCAGGCTTGCTCTACTTCCCAGTTCCTCCAAAGCGTGTGGTACAGCTGGTTTGTCAAAACCGCGATGCAGACCAGGGCCGTACACTGTGTGTGGTGGTTGTGACGCTGAATTGTAATTGTTGACCTAATGGGATTGAGAAGCACCCCGGGAGTTAGCAAAGCACAGGTCTGGGGTATCTGTAGGTGGCCGAGGCAGCGGGATCCTGGGGCTCTAGCTTCACCCTTGGGTTCATCCACCAAGGGGCGACAATGTGAAGGCGCTGTGGGGAGGGGCGGGGCCTCCTGGGGGCGTGGCCTTGGGGACTACTGTCCGGCCCATGCCCTCCGGCTCTTTCCTGCCCTGCCTCCTGAGTGTCCTGGAGTGAGCAACCTCAACCCTCCTCCCTTCCCTCGAACCTGCTGCGCATGAAATGCAATCTCTGAAACTGTGAGCCCCAGAAACCTCTCCAGTTGGTTTTTTTTTTTTTGTGGCCAGCTCAGCCCACCCTGGGGGCGGGGCTGGCTCAGCACGTGGGGCCGAGGGTGGGACCTCAGTCCCTGCGCTTGCCTAAGCTTGCCCAAGCAGGCATTTAAGTCTGCTGAACTATCTCACCGGCCCCCTCTCACCAAGCTGGGACGGAAGCCTGTGAAAGTGGAAGCTCTCTTATTCCATACTCATCTCTTTCTTCCTCCTGTTGTCTAAGTTTTGTTTTTTGAGGCAAAATTCCATTAATCAGCTCAGGCTGGCCTGGAACTCACGGCAGTCCTCCTGTCTAAACCTCCCAAGTGCTGGGATTATGATCTACACCGCAATGGCCGGCTTCTTGCTATCGTTTAACTGACTCCTCCATTCCTTGATGTTCCTGGTGATTAGTTGTAAAGTTTCAGAGATTCTGGTGAGGCTTACAGGGGCTTTCAAGCCAGACAGGGGGGGCCAAACCTTCAGGACCTCTAGCCTCCCAGAGATCAGCACACGAATCTCCCATGAGCTGGGCATGGAGGTGTACAACAATAATCCCACCCATTTGGGAGGCTGAGACAGGAAGATCACGAGTTTAAGTCCAGCCTGGGCAATGTAGTGAGAGTCTGTCTCAAAATAAAAAATATGGCTAGGACTGGAACTCAGTGGTGGAGCGCCTGCTCGTGCAAGACCCCGGGGCAGGGGGGGGTAGGGTGTGCGGGTGGACTCTGATCCAGTAGGACCAGTTTAGTGGTGAAATCCACACCACCATCCTTGGGCCGCACTGCATGTCACTCAGGGAGACCTTGCTCTGCAGAAGGGTCAGAAGGCACTTGGGGGGCTGTCTACAGCCAGCATGTGTCACCCCCCCAGTGTGGCCCTCATGGCGTTGGAGAAGGTCAGCAACATGGTCACACTCTTTTGGCTCTGGGGACGCTACAGACAGCAGCTTGTCCTAGGTGCTAAGCACCCCAAAAGGTTAAGGTCTCTGACTGCACGGTGGGTTTGCATGAGGGGGTGCTCCAGAGAGGGCCCTGGCTGGATGGTGGCCTCAGATGCCCCCCTGGCAGCACCTCGTGTCCTGGCCTCAGGGCTCTGGAGGGCTGGGCTGAGGCACTGAAGTGGGAGAGGAAGGAAGCGGGAGCAGAGGAGGCCAAGGCTGTCGCCTCCCAGCCCAAGAGGGGCCTGTAGTAAACAGGAAGGCCTGGAGGCTCCATGCAGGGGCTTCAGAGGGGCGGGGTCAGGAGGCGCCCTGGACAAGCGCAGCCTGTGAGCACTGGGCCCAGAGAGGTTGTGGCTTCTCCCAGGTCACACAGCAGCTAGCTCTTGCTTCCCTTTCCTGTTTGTCTCTTCCTGAGGTGCTAGCGCGAACCTCTTGTCTTCTTTGCTCACTGCAAAGGCTCAGGGGGCGCTGGCCTTTCTCAGGCCTCAGTTTCCCTCACTATGAGCTCAGTGCTCTTGCAGGAGAGGTTCTAGAGCCCTGGCCCCAGGGGCCTCTCGGCCTCCTTAGTGTCCTAGGGGGTTCTTAAGAATTTGGGGCATAGGTTTCACCAGGAAGACCAACATTGTCCACAGAACCCCCAAATCTATTCCCTGGGGAAAGAGAAGGTGACTTTGAGGGACCTTGCTCCTCTAGTACAGGGCAGAATCTGTGGGATCTGTAAATTTTTGTTATTATTTTGTGTTTTTGTTTTTAGGGTCTCCTTATGTAGCTCAGGCTGGCCTCGAACTAGTGGCGATCCTCCTGCCTAAGCCTCCCTGTGCTGGGATTATGGGGCACACCAC